GACTTTCATTTTCAATGCTGTTTCAAAAGTTCAAAGTCTCCCCTGAGACTCAAGGCAATCTCACAGGGGAAAAGCAACTTGCATATTTCCAACATACCATGGCACCTAATATACATGACCATTCTAAAAAGGAGGAAAGGGGATATGGAGGGGAAATATTGAGCAAAAGCAAGATTGAAATTTTTAGAGGGTTCCTCCAGTCTTGCAGCACACTGTCCTCCCTTGGGCTGGCTCCACTTCCGTGTACAGCTCTCCTTGGCAGCAGTGTCACCTCCAACATCTCGGGTCTCTGATGCAATCTTGGTTTCTCCTTCATAGCTGTTCTCTCTGGGCCTCTGGGTAGGGACTTCCTTGTCACAGGTCTGGCGCTAGTGGCTTTCCATGACTGGGGAGGAAGATTACACAACCTATGTCCTATATCCTCTTGATTCTAAATCCAGAACCACCTGGCCAGTGCTGCCAAGTTCTAATGCTTGCTGGGATTGGAACCTGTGCCCTGTTGGAGCAGGGAGGCCTCCCGGCTAGCTTAGACCCTAACTAATCACACAGAAACTGTATTAATTAAATCACTGCTTGACCCATTAGTTCTAGCTTCTTATTGGCTAACTCTTATATTAATTTAACCCATTTCTCTTAATCTGTATATTGCCTTGGGGATGTGGCTTACCAGCAAGATTTTAACCAGCATTTGTCTCCAGCGGCTCCATGGCATCTCTGACTTCACCTTCTTTCTCCCAGCATTCAATTTAATTTCCCCTACCTATTTAAGTTCTGCCCTATCAACAGGCCAAGGCAGGGGGCTGGAGAGATGGCTCAGTGGTTAAGAGCATTGCCTGCTCTTCCAAAGGTCCTGAGTTCAATTCCCAGCAACCACATGGTGGCTCACAACCATCCGTAATGGGGTCTGGTGCCCTCTTCTGGCCTGCAGGCATACACACAGACAGAACACTGTATACATAATAAATAAATAAATAAATAAAATAAAAAAACAGGCCAAGGCAGTTTTCTTTAATCATTAATGGTAATCACAGCATACAGAGGGGACTCCCGCAGCAGTGCCCCTTCTAGAATAACATTTACATAACTTTCTTTCTTTTTTAGGCATTAGGAAATCCCTCAGATCTTTTCCTTTCACAGGTTTCAGGATTAACTGGGCCTGATCTTGCTCTGAGGTTACCACTCCTTTGATTTCATTTAACATCAGGCTTTTCTTTAAACTTCTTATCTCCTTGAGCACAAGATTTGCCTTCACCATTACACTTCCTGGTGCTCTTTTTCTCCTCAAACTATTCATTTTGTATTTCTCTTTGAAAGGAAATACTCTCTTTGGAGTCAGAGAGATGCCATGGATCCGCCTGATCACCAATAACCCTATCACACAATCAATACTAGGCTACATTGAGATTTCCTCTGCCAAAGCCATTATTCTAAAACTCTTTAATTTAGCCTCTAGCAGATTATTAGGACAATGGCAGAAGCAGCCACTTTTCTTCTCCTCTGAAACCTCTTGCGCTGGGTCTTCATAGTTTACATGGTGTCAGCACTACTATCATCTCCATTAGGCCCTGCTTAAAGTATTCAGCTGCTGTCCTAATCCAAAGTCTCCAAATCTTCCATATTCCAACAAACAGCAACATGCTCAGACCTGTTACAGAAATATCCCAGCAGCTAGCGTTGCAGCAGGTAGGAAGGCAATGCACTGCAGAAGTAGCAGTCAGCGCACAACTGATCACAAGCTACAGGAAAGAATGAGATTGAGCCTCGTGGGGACTTTTGAAACCTCAAAGGCCACCTCTGATAACATACCTCCTCCAACAGGGCCACATCTACTAATCCTTCCTAAGTAGTTTCACTAACAGGAGACCAAGCATTCAAACACATGAACTGTGGGTCAGTCTCATTCAAATCACCGCAGAGGCTATTTTCTATTGTCTTTTATGTTGAGGTTTTTAAGTTTGGAGTTCTGTGACTACCCTGATGTGTGTGTGTAAATTATATTTGGTTTTAAGGGGACAGTCAGAAAGCTTGTTGTTTAAATGACAATGTTGTGTTGAAGAACACTTGCTCAAATGCTGTATTTAAACACCATATAAATCTACTGTGAGTTTTCTCTATTATTAGAATAAATAGATACTGTTAAAATTAATTTCTGTAAATTTAGGGATCCATTCTTGAAGGGGTTCACACGGTCCATGGTAGGGGCATATGGATTAGAAATTTTAGGCAGAAGGAACAGAGATAAGAAAGAAAAAGACAGAGACATAGAATAGAATTGGGAGGGCAATCCAGTGAATACTGAATCCACCTGTGTTTATTATTATCTTTAAATACCCCAAGCCAAAAGAGGGGAAGAAAGAAAAATCCTTTTTCATGATACCCAGAACACTTAGTAACCACACCCAGGTTAACATATCCTGTTAGTAGTCACACCTTAAGTCAAATCTCCCTGTCAGCATCCTTGAAGGAGCAAGAATAGGCTTGAACTCTCTGACCTACTAGTCGAGGTGGTACAGATCCTCCACTTCTGTGGACCGTAATAATACCCAAAACGCCAAGTAATTACACTCTAGTCAAGATATCTTTGTTAGTATCCACACCTTATTCAAACCTCTCGTCAATAGCTTTGAAGGAGCAAGACTAGGCCTGAGCTCTCTGACCTTCAGTCAAGGTGGAATGGACCCACTTCTGTGGGCTCCCACATGTGAGCACTGTTTGCCAGGCATGGTTTTGTTTTACCTGAAGTTTAAAATTTTTGTTTTGAGTCAGGTCGTGGTTGTGCACTCCTTTAATCCCAGCACTCGGGAGGCAGAGGCAGGTGGATCTCTGAGTTTGAGGCCAGCCTGGTCTACAAGAGCTAGTTCCAGGACAGGTTCCAAAGCTACAGAGAAACCCTGTCTTGAACATCACCCCATTCTCCAAAAAAAATTTTTTTTGGTTGTCTTTGGAAGTTGCCATTGTTGCATAATTTTGTCTTTGGGAGATGAATTAAATCCCTTCTTGTGATTTCCTACAAGCAAGTCAAGTGTGGAGGTGCAGTGAGTAGTTTTTAAGCTTAAATATTTTGGCTGGATTTAATTACCTCAAGGGATAAGGCTATATGATGGGCCAGTGGTTTACCAAATTATTTTTTATTTTCTGAATGTAGATGTCACTGAAGGTTAATGCATCCTCTTTTCTTCACTAGAGATTGAGTTAAAATCCATTTTTAGGGCATGAGTATAAATGAATTTGTTGTTGTTTTTCCTCCTTGGGGACACTTTGATCATTTTGTGAGTCTGCCTTTCCATTTGGAATTACTGGCAGTAGCTTGCACAGGGCCCAGGGGCTGTCATAGCAGGGGCAGTTACAAGTCAGTGTGAAAATGAATGGGCAGGCTTCAGAGGGCAGAGCTGGCCCAGGGCTTGTCAATCTTCCACTCCTTGATTCTTTCCTGCTTTAACTTAAGAAAACTTATTTGGTACTGACATTTGATTATATCACCTCTCAGAACAAGTGATGTGTTATGGGTGAGCTGTTGCACTTCATTATTATTATGTTTAGGTCATTTTGGGCTGGTCTGTATTTGACAGCCACAGCTTTCTGTCTTCATTGTCTAAAAGCTCCCAGATGACTCCTTTGTCCACTGTAGATCTGTCATTAATATTTTTGATCACCAATGCATTTAATGATTTTTATTAACTATTGCTTTTACATGAATTTTTTAGTTTTTAGGGTCATATTTGTATCTATAGTCAGTTTTAATGGTATCACCCATTCATAAACGGTGTTATTATTGCGCATAGCTACCCCAATCAGAAATATTGAGAAAATATCCTATGTAGAGAATAACCATATCCTTAGTTCTTCAGGTAGCTGGGATTCTTTTTTCTCTTCAGGCTTAGGTTGAAGTCACCATTTTTTCCTTCCTCATCTTCCTTTTGCTCTCTGTAGCCTTTAAGTTCCCTTCACCTTTTGCCCCACTCCTGAGTAATAATACTTAATACATCCTTCACCTTTTCCTTTCAAAATATAAAAGAGCATTATCACATGGAAAACTAATTGAATTTACACAAAGAAATGAGATCATAACTCATGTGCTCCTCCTCACCACAGTTATCACTTTAATTTTTAGAGTCAGTTATTTTTGGTTCCCTGTCTTTCAGCTTCTCTATTACAGGCATTCCTGTATGATTTGAATCATTTAGTTCTTGTCTTTAAAATCCCTTAAGCCATCTTAAGAGCATCTTCTTTGTTATCTTCGGTTCTCCATTTCATTTCCCTCTGTTTAATCAGAATGGATCAGGATATCAAGAGGTCATGATTGTTACTTCCCACCAGTAGTGTGCATGCCAAAGTGCATTTAACTCCAAATGCGTGTGCATATGAGAAAAATGAGAGAGAGACTGCTTGGTTCTTTATAGATACATACGTGACCTTACCCAACAGAGTTCTGTTTAGCTCATGATCACCTTGAGAATAAGCTAATAAAATATTCATGCAATGTGCCTTGACTTGTCTTAAAGAGTAAGTTTTATTAAAGTTGATTTAAGCCAGTGTGGTGGTTTTGAGCTCAGGAGCCTAAGGCAAGAATAATGTGAGTGTGAAGCCACCTAGGGTCACACAGTGAGACCCTGTCCCCAAACAAACAACCCAAACTAAAAATACCCCCCTCAAAAGAAGTTGATTTCAACCATCAGCGTTTGAGATTCTAGTGAAAATATGAATTGATATAGTTATTTTACATGCGTCTTTGGGCAAGCAATGTGTATAGGAGTAAACAGTACCTAGAGCTTTGCTGTGTGTCTTACATGCCTTTATATAGTCCTTTGTTGGGGTTTTCTTTTCTTTTTCTCTTGTGTTCTATTTATCTTAGCAAAACCTCAAGGGCCATACTAGGTTAATCCACATGGTACTCTGCAAGCCTGATACTACATACGCAGCTCTCAGAAACTCCTGTTCTTTCTTCCTTATAGTATGGCAAGATTCATTAGCTGTACTTACTTGGCTCTCTTCCCTTTCAGGTGTCAGCAGTGGAGTCTTTGGAGGGCCCACTGCTCCAGGTGGAGGGACTCAGTGACCTCAGGCTGGAACTTCACAGCAAGAAGATGAACCTGCACTTGGTTCTCATAGAGGAACTGCACCGGCACCTGTACATCAAATCCACTAGCCGAGTTGTGCAGCGTAACAAAGAAAAAGGGAAGATGAGGTTGGTTAAAGAGTGTCTCTCCTATAGTGTCTTGTGGCAGTGACATTATTTGAAGAAACATACTTTGTATTCCAGAACATTATGATTTGTTTTCTTCGTCCTGTAATATGCTGCCTCTGAACTCATAGATGGTTTTATAATAGCAAATATGCCATATCCATAGAGGCTAACATCACAGTGTGTTCATTTATTCCTTGTATATTTGTTCTGGTCCTCTTATGTAAGGGTGTGTAAGAAATATCTCCTGTGGCCCTGTTACATAGGGATCAGAGACACTCTTATGCTCTTAGAGGGAGCTGAGAAAGAACTCCTTAAATTGAATAGTGAGGTCAGCAATAATAAAAATTACAGAGATATATGAACTGAAGTTAGTAACTACTACAGAATTACTTCAAGGCTTGATGTAAATAGGGTAACTATGGGTTGCCTTTTTAGTAGTGTATTCTACTGGGGTCACTGTGAGCAATAGAGCTTCTTTCCAGTGTCTGGTGCTGGATAAATCATAACACAGAATCATTTTGAATTTTGTGTGAATGTCTGTGTACATTTATAATCAATGCTTCGCTATCTCTGGGAAGGGTTTTTACTTAAATAAAGAAAGCAAGAAAAATTTGGAGACTTCAGGTTGAGATTTCTCAGTAGATATGTGAAACAGTCACAATAATTTAGATATTGTATTGGTTAATTTTGATTGTCAACTTGATTAGATTAACAAATGAGTAGAGTATTATTGGGATATACCTTCGAGTATATCTGTGATTGTATTTTCTGAGAGGATGAATATATTAGGAAGATTCATCCTGTGGGCTGAGATTGAGATGTGAATAAAAAGGGAGATGGAGAAAGACAGCTGAGCATATGTTAAACTGAGATAGGAAGAGTCCTAGCCTCCATGCTTCCCCACTATGAAGTCATCAGCTACCATGTTTTCCCACCTTGTCCTGTATATCTACCTTTCTGAACCACACAACAAGAAACTTCCTTTCCTTTAATTTGTTGTTGGCTTATAATATTTATTTATTTATTTATTTATTTTCTGAGACAGGGTTTCTATGAGTAACAGCCCTAGTTGTCCTGGAACTAGCTCTGTAGACTAGGCTGGCCTCGAACTCACAGAGATCCACCTGCCTCTGACCCCTGATTGCTGGGATTAAAGGCATGTGCCACGACTGTTGGTGGCCTTTTTTTTGAGGGGGTCATATTTTTGGAGCAGTAATGTTCAAAACATTACTCCCCGCTTCCTTAAGAGGGTGAGTGCATTATTACTTTTGGTTTGGGCCTTTGCTTTTGTGAGTCATTAGGATAAATGAGTCAGTCTTGAAACATTTGTGCTGGTTATGTTCTCTCTTTCCTCTGCCATTGCCTTGATGTGAGGAACCAACCTAAGGTCTACCCAGCCTGGCTGAAAGTCACCAAAATATTTGCTTATTGATGAACTTTTCTGATCTTTATGTTTGTATGCAGCAAGATTCAACAACTTCTATGAAGCAGTGTGCTGCATGAACATAATTGTCATGAGCCCTAAACAGGACAGAAACATGAAGTGTCAGAAAACCAAAAGTAAATCAAGAAATTTAAGTCTTAATTTAAAATTTTAGTATGAAAACCTGACATTGTAGTGCACACCTTTAATGCCTCTTTAATGCTAGCACTTGGGAACTTGGGAGCCAGAGGCAGGTAGGCTCTGTAGTTTTTTTTGTTTTTTTTTTTTTTTAACCCATTTGAGGGCACACCATCTAGCTCCCAAATAAATACATGGAGACTTAGTCTTACTTATGAATGTCCAGTCTTAGCTTGGCTTGTTTCTTGCCAGCTTTTCTAACTCTTTACCTATGTTTGCCTCTGGGCTTTTACCTTTCTTTATTCTATATTATCTTTATTTCCTTCTTACTTTGTAGCTGACTGGGTGACTGCCCTTGGTGTCTTCCTCCCTCTTCCTTTTGTTGCTCCTCCCTCTTCTTCTCCAGATTTCTTCTTTATATTATTCTCTCTACCTGGCAGTCCCATCTATCCCTTCTCTTGCCTAGCTATTGACTGTTTAGCTCTTTATTAGATCAATCAGGTGTTTTAGATAGCGGAGTAACACAGCTTTTCAGAGTTAAACGAATGCAACATAAAAGAATGCAATATAACTTAGCATCATTAAACAAATATGCCATAACATAAATAGATGTAATACATCTTGAACTAATATCCTACAACAGATTTCTGTGAGTTTGAGGCCAGCCTGGTCTACAGAGTGATTTCCAGGACAGCCATAGCTACACAGAGAAACCCTGTCTTGAAAAAGCAAACAAAAAACCAAAACAATCCCCCCCCCAACAAAAATTCCAAACCAACCAAACAAACAAAATATTAGCAAGAAAAATTGAATAATTGTATATGCCTTGAGGTCAGAGGATGGTAAAAAGAAGTGGGTTCTCTGTTTTCACATGTGGGTCCCAGGGATTTAAGTGCTTCAGGCTTGGCAGCAAGTGCTTTTACCTGGTGAGCCCTCTTGCTAGCCCAAATGTCATTTTTTACCAAACAGTTTATGCCACTTTGTTATGGTAGTCTCAGCTAATGAATCATCAGTGGTCCAGAAGTTGTAATTAGAATGCTCATGAAGAAAGTCATGTTTTTTCTCAAATTAGCTTATAAAATGATAAGTATAGCTTATAAAATGATTTTTCATACATTTTTCATTTTGGTTAACTTTTCTTCCCACTCTTTTATCTTCTTCATCCCCTACTTCTATCTCCATTTAAACATTCTCATTCTAGCATCTACTTTGATATCACATATGAAGAGCTGAGATTTTTGTGTGGGCTATAGACTGGTTGACTACATAATGAATTCTGTGCCAGCTAAAGAGTGAAAACACTGTGTAAAACAAAACAAAACACAACAAAATTATAAGTAGAAAATGACTTAGCAACTAAGAACATTTACTGTAAGAGGACCCAAGTTCAAATCCTCAGCATCCTCATAAAACAGCTATGTGTCTGTGACCCCAGCATTTGGGACAGAGACCTACAGACATCAGGAACTTGCTGGCCAATCAGCCAAATCAGTAATATTTATGTTCAGTGAGATATCCTATTTCAAAAAATAGAAAGTGGAGAATCAATTAAGAAAGACATCGAATATCAACCACTGGTCTCCACATGGGTGTGCACACATCCCGCTCACATGGATGTGTATATTCTGCACATACACAAAATAAAGTGAAATAAATAAAGATGTCTGGATAGGTTGTAGGAAAGAAGAAATAGAGGAGAGAGAGAAATAGTAAAAGCTGTGTTCGGAAGAAATGAATAAATGGGAAGATTGCCACATTCTCAGCATGTAGATATTTATTTCGTTTAAACCCAGCGGATGTGTTTGAGACTTACATCTGAAGTCTACTTAGAAGAATAAGTATGTAACAGTGATTCAAAACAAAAACAAAGACAAAATGAAAAAAAGGAAGTTCTGGGGAAGGCTTTCCTCATGTGACATTAAAGTATATTTTAATGCTGCTTGAAACAGAACAGCATAGGATGAAAGTAGAAATATTACTGGGACAAATTAAGAGTTCTGAAACGTTATTGTTTATTTATTTTTTGATGTTAGTTTAGATCAGTATAGGATAGGACAGGGAAAATATTTAGAACACCTACCTGGGTTAAGGTAATTTAGCTATTGTTTTGAAGAAAATTTAGGTACCTATCCTTTACATATAAAAGATTTTAGCCAATAGAAATAAATCATATGGTAAAATTGATAGGCATTAACATATGAGACTATAAGTAGAGAATTGCTTTTCTGAGCACTCAGACAGTTTGTAAAATTTTAAATAATTTATTCCAAAACATATGATTAGAGCAATGCAACCTTGAAAATCAGCTAGCCAAAGCCATCCATAGCATGTTGTTTTGTTAAGGGTGGGGATTATGAATAGTTTCCTCTCTTTGGTTGGATAACCAACGTGCTTTTTGTAAAATTTATTCTTTCTTTAACCTTGGAATTTCATTTCCAAGTTCAGATTATCAGTTTATGAAGATATATATATATATATATATATATATATATATAGTAGGATATTCATTGCAAAATTATTGTTAATAACAGCACGAAAACCATATAAAAACCATATAACTCAGCTTGGTGCAGTGGAGTATGCCAAAATTCTAGCACACTCAGGGGTGGGCGATAGAGCTATGTCACCCTCTCTCAACAATGAAATGACATATCCCATGCCCCACAAAAAGGGAACCCCCAAACCAACTTCCTTACCCACCACCAAACTTCATATACCTTTAATGCTCATCATGAAGAGCATGGTTGTTTCATATAACACAGCAGCTTAAAATGGATGAGAAAGATCTCGATGCTTGATTGGTAAGATTTCTGAGATGTACTATCAAATTGAAACAGCGTGTATTATATGAGCATATGTGTCTTTAACATGCAATCATAAACATGTGTAGTTATCTAGAATGCTCCGCAAAAGGTTATGTGCAACATTCATTATTGCGGAAGTTCGAAGTGGGGAGTGAAGAACATTTTAGTGGGTTATTGTCATATTTCTGTATAGAGCCTCTGACTTTATCATCATATGAGGTAATTGAAAAACTTGTGTTCTTCTTAGTGATACTAGGTCCTACCCAAAATGTCTGTGGTCTCATTGAAAGGATTATTATTTTTTTTAATATTTATTTATTATTTATTATGTATACAATAGTCTATCTGTGTGTATGCCAAAGGTCAGAAGAGGGCACCAGACTTTATTACAGATGGTTGTGAACCACCATGTGGTTGCTGGGAATTGAACTCAGGACCTTTGGAAGAGCAGGCAATGCTCTTAACCACTGAGCCATCTCTCCAGCCCCGAAAGGATTATTTTTGACTAATTAATATTAACATATGATAGGAAGACAGCTTACATATCTGTCTGGAGGAGGTAGGGTGTAAACCTCATTGAATAATTCCTCATAGTCTAACATGCCAACTTTCAACTCTAAGGCATCAAAAATCTT